TTCTCTTCCCCCCTTTCCCCTCTCCCATTTATTCCCTTTTTACCTCAGGATGTAAAAAAAAAAAGGGAAAATTCTTTTTCGTTCCCGATTTACATTTGAAAATAATTAAATCACGTATAGGTAATGAACCGAAATAAAAAATTACTTTTTCAGGTAATTAATTTCTTTTTTTTTCTTTTTTTTTTTTTTGTTAAGCGTTTCGAAACCCCGATGACGTTTTTTTTTTTTTTCAGTGCCGTATCCGTGATTTATTTTCGTTTATTATAATTATTTGAAATAAAATTAATTACCATCGTACCTGAATAATTAATCATCGATCGAATATTGGAAATTTTTATTATTATTAGTATTATTTAAATTTCGTCTGCTATTGTTTTAATTGAAAAAAGAAAGAAGGAGGAGGAAAGGCGAGAGATGGGAGAGGAGGGAGGAAGGGGGCGGGCGGGAAAAAGGAAATTAAATGGATTCGAAAAAAGGTTTTCCATTGAATTTTCCCTTTGAACTAAAAATTCTTTCGACCTAAAAATTTGGTTTTGTTTTAATTTCGAGGATATGAATATTAAATTCAAATTATTTTGTGTTCGTGCGTGTGCGTGTGCGTGTGCATGCGTGTTTTTCACGGGAATGGGAAGGGGAGGGAGGGGGAAATAAGAAGATGAGAAAACGAAGGAAACAGGAAGTGTGGAAAGGAAAATGTGTGTGTGGAGGGTGGGTGGGTGTTTGTATGCGTGGGAAGTTGTGAGAGAAGGTTTAAAAGAGGGGGAAAAAGTATAAAGAATTTTTTTTTTTTTTGGGGAGGCGGGGGTCGAATCGAATTCGTCGGTTGTGTTCGTTGAAAAAATATTTTCGAAATTTTGCATTTGTTTTGCGATTTTTTTTTTTTTTGCTGAAAATATGCGAATTAATATTGAACGACAGCAAAAAAAAAATTAAAAGAAAGAGAAAGAGAGAGGGGGGAACAGAGAGAGGGGGGAGGGGAAAATATTGAAAAGTCATTTAAATTTTTATTACGAAAAAAAAAAAAAACAAAAAAATCACAATAAAACGAATCGAACGAGTTTAAATACCGAAAAAAAAATTGAATGTACGAATGAATGAATGAATGAATGAATGAATGAATGAATGAATGATGGTCCTACGTATATTTTTAAAACAAATAAACGCCTTTTCCGGTATCGCAAAAATAAATAAATAATTTTTTTTAATATTTTTTTTTCGTTTCATTAAAAATTTGATATTAAAAAAATAAATAAATAAATCGGAAAATTAAATAATCCGTAAATTTGCGACAAAATTCACAGTCGGTTCAAAATATTTGTCGAAAGAATAACAAAAAAAAAATTCCGTTTTTAATTCATTTTTTTCCGGTTTTTTTTTTTTAGTCTCGTTCGTCCTGAGAAAATTAAAAAAATTTCAAGGGGGAAGATGTGAAAGGTTAAAGATTAAAGGTAAAAAAAAAAGAAAGAGAAAAAAAACGGAAGGAATTAAAACTCTTGTAATTATTACTCAAGAATCGAACGGTTGTTTTTGTTTTTAACAACTTCTCACTCATTGATCTTAATTTATTCTAACAATAACAATAACAGCAGTAACAACAACAAACAACAACAACCATCGAAAACAAATTAAAACCATTTACAACAGCAACAACAACAAGAAAATCGATATCAAAAAGTGAAAAATGTTTTAATTTAAAATATACCTGCGAATGATTTAACCGTTAATGCATACGTCATCATACGTCATCATTTTTTTTTTTAAATATAAACGAGGTACGTTCAGAAAGTATCGTCGTGTAAAAGGATTTTTCTTTTTTCTACCACGCGTTTATTTTATTTTATTTTTTTTCATGATAATAAAAATTAATAAGTTATTATTATTATTATTACTACTTGTCGTGTTTAAATTAATAATAAATAAATAAAAATAAAAATGTCGGAAAATAAATAATAACACATAGAGACAGACACACAGAGGCGTCGATAACATTGCCAAAACGTTTTTTTTTTTTTTTTTTTTGTTATTAATTAATGGCGTTTCGCACATAATTTATTTATTTTAAAGTTTTTTTTTTTTTTTTTTTTATTATTAAACAAAACATTGTCGACCAGGTCGTCCCACAATAAATAATTTTTTTATATATATAATTATTGCGAAAAATAATTTTTTTTTTGTCGTCCGCCATTTTGTTTTTTCTATTTGAATATTGGGAAACGAACGGGAGTGAATGTCTGGGGGGGGCTTTTGTCAATTCCGGAAATTCTTTTTTTTCTTTTTTTTTTTTTCAGGGGGTCTTAAAAAAAAATTAAGCAAACGATTTTTTTTTTTAAATAAATAAATAAAAAAAAGGATGATGATCGTTATTTAAATTTTTCTAACGCGAAAAATAATAATAATAATTTTTTTTTTTTGAAATTTATTAGAGTCGTCGGATTATTATCTCGTTAAAAAAAAGGAATCGAATAAAAGGAAAAAGGTTAATAAGTAAACAAAAATTAAATAATTAAAAAAAAGAAAGAAAGAAAGAAAGAAAAGGTTAATAAGGTGATGTTGATGACGTAAGCAACCGTTAAAAGGAAAAACAAAAAAAAAAACGTTAAGAAAAAATAAAAAAA